CGATTTCGGGGTATCCAACAGATCATTCCTGAAAACCGGATCAAGAACTAGCAGATGCTCAATGGAAAGGGAAATGACGAAAAAATAAAGAGATAATAAAAAAAAAAGAGTAGAAAACCTGAGGAGGTGCTAAGATGCCAGGGTGATAGAGAGACTGTTGTTGGAGGAGAGCTTGTTGCATCAGGGCCTGTTGCTGTTGCTTCAGCCTCAGGGGCTCCATTTTTCCTCGGCGATTTTCAAGAGAAGAATTGGTATTAGGTGTGTTTGGCGAGGACAAAAAAAAGGCACCTTTTGTTCTCTTCACCTCAGCTAGGGTTCGGAGAGTGAGGGGGAAGGCGGGAAGAAGGAAGGAAAGATGACCTCTACAGAGAGAGAAAGAGAAGGGTACCGCGTGCATCCAAAAATGTTTTATAGGAGTTCGGAAATATAAATTTATTTGCTAATGTTGAATGTGTTTACCGGTAACAAATCATAAAATCACACGTGTACATGTGTATTAGGAAAATTTAAAGGGTTCTATTGATGACCTCTCTGAATTATAAGGGAAAGAAAGATTATGCGGAAATTGAACTCGGACCTTGGTATGAACTTATACAAGGATTCATATATTTTTTTGGTAAATAAAGAGCTAAGCTATTCTGTAGCTAATCTAATGTTGCCTATTGGCCGAGCTTTCTCCTGGGGATGGGGAAGGGTTATTCTTGGGGGTTCTTGGAAGACAATGCCTTCAAAATCATCTTGTCGTACTAGTTTAGCTAGCTCGTCTGCTATTCTATTGGCTTCTCGTCTGGTTTGTGAAAATGCTTCCCAGCTTCGATTAACCAGTTCTTCAATGTGCTGCATTATGGTCGGTGCTGGCATCCTTCGCCTTCCTGTCGAACACAGTTGAAAAGCTTCTGCATTGTCCGTTTCAACAATTACCTTCCTTGAACCTAAATTCCATGCATGTGTTAACCCTTCGAATATTCCTCAGAGCTCCGGTTCCAGAGCTGAACATATCCCTACGGCTTTTCAAAGCCTCGTATCCATTCTCCCTGGTTATTCCGTATTATTCCACTACATGTCGCATATCCGTTCTGGTTATTCCGAGCCCCGTCTGTATTGACTTTCACCCATTCATCCGGGGGTATTGTCCATTGAATTATTCCTCGCGATTGATGCATCTCTGGATTCCTCGCTTTAGTAATTGCTTCCCGGGCTCTTATTCCTTCAAGTTGTTCTAATATTGTTTCCTGTCCCATTTTTTTCCGGTTCAAAGACATACAAGTTCCGATGTTTCCAAAGTGACCAAATTAACGCTCCAAATAGCAGATCCCAGTCTTCCATTATATCAACAAAGTAGCTTGGCCGTTCAAGGTTTGTTGTAAGCCAATCCTTTATGTTCATTGAGATGAATTCATCCATTTTCCCAGATTTAATTAATTGTTTCCAAAGATTCTTCGCAGGCATACATTCTCTTAGCAGGTGTGAAATTGTTTCTTCCCTACAGCCGCACACTCCACAATTCCAATTTGTTCCAATGTGTCTTCTCATCCGTTCGCTATTTGTAAGCAATTTCCCGCTTGCCCACTATACAAGGCTTCATATCTTATCTATGATTATAACACACATTTAATGTTAGAATCGGGTTCTTAATTTCAGTATTTATACAAATGAGGTTTTATTTTTATTTAAGTTTAATACATTTTTTTCAATCAAAAGAAAACTTAGGGTGTGTTCGATGGCTTTCTCATTTTCCTGTGTTTGATAGCTGGAAAATATTTTTCGAAAAATGTTTTTCAGTGTTTGATAGCTGCAATTGGTTTTATGGAAAACATTTTCCAGTGTTTGATAGTTTTAATTGATTTTACCAATGTAATTCATTTTCCTAGTTTCTTTGTATTTTCTGTAAATTGTTTTACCATCTGATTTTTCGTACAACATTTCCTAACTTTATATTTTAGAGTATAAGAACTCAAAAAAATATTATTTTATGTATTTAATATTAAATTAATATTTTAATATCATTTTAATAAATATATTAATTATTAAAATATGTATAATATAATTTTAATAAAATTATTTTTAATATTATAGTAATATATACTCAGATATATTATAATAATATGATATTATATTTTTAATTTAGTAATATATAATAAATTATTAATATTTATCTATTATTTTTATAAATATATTATTAAATTATTAATAATGAGAATATTAATTTATATATTTAATATTAATATAATAATTTAGTATTATGTAAATAAAATACTAATGATTAAAATTAAAGTTGTTCAAATGGTTAATTCAACCACTTAACGAATTGAATTACCATTAACCAAATAAACCAAACTTTTTTTCTTTAATCATTAATTGAATCATTTTTTTAATATTAATTGAACCGGACTTTATTCATTTTATGTAAATCATTTTTTATAAAACTAATTAAACAATTAGTAAAACTGATTTACACAATATCATCAAAACACCGTAAAATAGTTTCTGAAAACTATTTCCCGTAAAATGTAATTCATTTTACGTAAAGCAGTTTTAGGTAATTTATTTCATATAAAACAATTTTCACGTAATTCATTTTAAGTAAAACAGTTTTCAGGTAATCCATTTTACATAAATTATTTTCCAGAAAATCAATTATAGTATATCAAACATACCCTTTAATACATTTTTAGATGCCTAAATTACATCTCAAATTCACTTTTGGTTTCTAATGAAATTTTCGTTAAAAATATGTGTTTAATATTTTCTCCGTTATACTTTTAAATACCTGCCATTTATATTTTTTATTTTTAATAATAAAAATATTACTTTTTAAAGAAAAATCAAAAGAAAATAAAATCACTCACGTCGTCCCTCTTCATCTCATCCCCCATCTCCGACGATGACGAAGGGTCACCACCGGTTAGGTTTTGTTCGGAGTAGCACGAGAAATTCAATAGTGGCGGTCGTGTAACGTACGACCAGTTGTAGTCCTCAGAATCTTCGGAAAAACAATGAAGAAAAACTTAGAAAATAGGTGACCTTTTGCGGCACTTGTCACGACAATTGACGCAATTTCTTGATGGGCGAGGGACTGAATTTTGGTCACGGCGAGACGGTTTTGATAGTGTCAAATGTGACGGCCACGGGCCGACGGTGACTGATCGCGATGAAATTTTGAAGTTTTTTTTAAATTATAATATTAAGTTTTGTAATTATTTTTAAAAAATTTATATGTACAACACATGTCAAATAATGGTTAACTTTAATGGTCGTTATGATCCATGCAATTAAAAGTATAACGTTGAAAACGTTAGACACCTATTTTTAACGAAAAATCTTTAGTCAGCAAAAGTCAATTTGATGTACAGTTTAACACCTAAAAGTGTGTATTAAGCTTTTTATTCATTTGTTTGTTAGAGTAGTTTGTGATAATAACAAAGTAATATATATGTTTATAAAATTTTTTAAATGTTCACAATGTATAGAGTTACTTAAATCCATAATCTCTGGAGAGAGATCGACACCTCCTATTCTATCATTAAGAACTTATTGGTACTATGTAAATATAATGATTGGTTAGGGTATATCGATGTATTTTTTTTTGATGAATCGAATTTTATTATCCAAATAGCATAGAAATGTTACAAAGCAATCAACCAATCTGTAACAAAGAAGACTAAAAACAACCTATTTACAACAAACACAGATTGATTAGACTATACCCCAAGCATTACAAAGGTTAACATTAGTACTATCTAATCTATTGATATTTGTACCCTTAAGTTGAATACCAATAGCTTATTTAATCTTTTTCAGCATGTCTTCGATTGTTCTCTGACGACCTTGAAAAATTCTGTGATTCCTTTCTTCCCACAGTAAGTATATAAATGCAGTACATGAGATCTTCAAGATTGTGGTGAGAAGAGACTTACCATTCCATGTTGAAGCAGCCGTAGCAACCATAACATCCCATGATAAAACAATACTATTTAATCTGTTGAGCGACATTATTGAATTCCAAAGACGAACAACAAGGGGCATTGAGAAAAAAATGATTTCTAGTCTCCTGCTCGATGTTGCAGTTAACACAAATATCATCAGAATTGATTCCCATTTTGAGTAACCGATCTCTAGTAGGAAGTCTGTTCAACAGTGTCATCCAAGTGATCAAACTGTATTTTGGGATGTGCATTGGGAACCATATAAGTTTGTGCCAGGAAACTTTCTCCCATTTATTACGAATTGAATCTCAGATGTTACTAAGCTTTAATGAACCAGAAGAAGAAAGAATAGTGAAAGTTGTAGCACGCAATTTAAAGATTCTATTAACAGTCCAACTTTCTCCCCTTTATATCGATGTATTATATAAAACTAAAAAGAAAAAATGTAAATGATAATTTTTCAGTTAATCTTTTTATTCTTATTTTAAGTTTAAAAAGTTTATATCATTTTTTTATTTGGATAAATTACATATTTAGTATTTTAACTATCTTTTTTATTCTGTTTTAATCATTCAATTATTTTTTTAATCATATTTAATGTTACATTTTGATTTTATTTTGAATATTTACTTTAAAAAAAAATAAACGATGCTGGCAGAAAGGAGACTTTGGAAATTACAAGACTGGGAATTAGAATCTCTCGCATTGAAATAGTTTGGTAACGTAGACAGACAACGACGACAAGTAGAGAGGAATCAAACAAGCGGATTTTGTAACGTAGTCCCTTTTGCATACGCCCTTCCCCCTCTGGATAGGTCAATACTCCAAATCAAAATAATTTGCTTGCTTCCCACGTAAACCTGACGGCCTCTAGTTTTTCTGATTCATTGATTTTAAATCGTTTAATCAAGTTGTCATCTGCTTTCCGTCTGGTTCCTACTCACCAACAATAACAACTAAATAACAGCAAAGTTTCATGGAGGGCTTTGTTGTCAATCAATGGATGAATCTGAGAGTAACAGAAGAACCCGGAACCTTTACACACTAATTAAGGTGGTCCTAAGTAGGTACACAATTGAAACAATGTTACTATAACTTGAGATCAAGATCACTTGATGCTTCTTTCGACGATCGACCTTCCTTGTGAGATGGACTGCTCTCGTCAGGCTTAGGCGGCGGAGGAGACCCTCTAACGTTGTTAACTTGGTATGGGGCTCTTGCAGCTGCCCTGAAAATGAAGCCGGTGCTGTCAATTTAGTGATGTAATTCAACGACGACGAGAAGAACAATATAAAATCACAACTTGGGTAAACCTTTAAGGCCAGGCTATGCAGATCCCGGAATTAACATATTACAAAGCCTAGTTTTTATATTGTGTTTGAATGATTGAGGGATAAAAGGAAAAATAAAACAAAGGTTCCTAATAGTTTGCAATCTAAGGCGCCATTTGTCAAAAGATACAAGATTCGGAGTCCAGGAAAGTTCTGCAAATTTCCTAGAATCTGGGAGAAGTAAATAGTTTCAATGAAGCTTTAGCAGCATCGGTAAATTTTAGAGTTCAGGGAAAACTTTCTTACCTGTCTTTTCTCTTTTCGAAGAACTTGTGAAGTGAATTTCTTCTGGCAATCCGTAAATCTGCAAAGAAGAAACCAAAACAATCAACTTAGAGTAGGTCATTGATAGTAAAAAAAAACTTGCAAAACTTCCCAACAGGAACTTCCTGGATTTGATTCAAGGTCAAATTATAAGTTACCTGAACCGCCATATTCACACCGCTCAACGGATGGAACCTGAGAAGGACTATTTCCAGTCGTGGTGGCGACGTTCAGGTCCGGAATTTCAGGATTGCTAGACTCGACTTTGTCCATTTTAGAATCAAATTTTTCCATGCCGGTGTCAGCAACAAGGCCACTGCATGCAGTAGAGCATCCATAGCTAGCTAAAATGTCCATGATTTCCTTCAACTTGTGTGAAGGAAAGTCGTTAAATACCACCACTTGGCCCCCAAAAAACATGGTCAGCTGGGAATTCTTTGCCTCCACTTTTGCCGGTTTCCTAAATCAACAAAACTCTAAATTCTCAGTTCCATATCTATTTTTTAACAAATTTCCGTCAGTACCATGAGTTTTAAACGGGTAAGAACAAATAAGGGGCATCTAAAATTCTGAATATCTTGAGATATTAATGAAGAGAAAACACACACCTGAAATCTGTCGTGTTATTGGTATATTCCTTGGAACTGGAGGCATCAAAACTGCCAATATCTGCGAAAAAACCAGAAGGTTTCGCGTTTGAATTTAAAGGAGATGCCACAAGAGTCGGTTTTAAATTCTCAGAAGAATTATCCATACTAGGCAAAAAGTTCATCGTCGCCGCTCGTTGCCTAGATGTTTCAATCCCTGCAGCATCACCAAACAAAGAAATCCGTAAATTCTTCATATTAAACACCTCCATAGAAATCAACCCAATCAAAAAGCTCATAGATCATACAACCCTTCTAAAAAAGATGTAGAAGAAGCAAAAGGGTACCTTTAGATTCATGTTTTGAAGCCATCCCAACACTGATATCCCCAAGATTTCTTTTTTCTTTCAAGAACTGACTAAGAAGATTGACAAAACTTGCTCTCTCGAGAGCCTTGCCGGACTTTTCGCCTGAATTGGACATTGCCGCTTCTTTTCCTTTTATCGTTGTTGTCTGAAAGCTCTCGAGCTTCTTACAAAAGCTGAATGAAACAACCGTCAATTTATGGAACACCAAATTTCATGGTCTTTTACCAGTTTTAAAAGATCTAAGCCGGAAATGATTTATAAGGGAGTGAAGGAAAACAGGCTTCTCCAACTCTCGCCCCACGTTCTTTAAATCCGATGAGCAAATGAGTTGTCCTGGTTTTATCGACAACATTAATTTGTTTATTTGATCTGGAGCACGTTTTTATTACATTTATGGAAAGAGTATAAAGGAAGAAAAAGCAGACTACTTGTACAGTTGCCAGTTGTACTATAATAAGCCTTGAAAGGCAATAGTGGAAGGGTGAAGAAGAGTCGCATTGGGTGAGTTTCTTTGCAATTGCTCGCCTTAACTCGATTTCTTTTACCTGTTAGAGGTTTATGATCCCATCAATTTAATGAATGTTAATAAAATTAGTTATTGATCAAATCAGATTTAATTGAGCAGTTCTTTATTTTTTGAACCCGTTTTATTGATTACGCTTTTGAATTTGTTAACTGGACTTCGTTGAGTCTTTGAAAAAAATAGTTATTAGGCATATGTTATATGTTGGGATATTATATTTGTTTTTTAAGAAGAATGTATTATTAAAATTATATTATCTATATATCTTCTAGCTTGAATATGAAAGACGTGGGTATGAACACAAAAATTGGGTAGAGCTATTTTAGTAAATTTTGTACTTTTTATTAATTTATTTTTATTAATCTGGGTACGTACAAGACAATATATGTTCACATAAAAAACTCTAAACCTTTCGAGATTGATTGCTCATACCCCTGGCATCTATGGTACTCGAACCCGGGTCCTAAAAAATAACAATAATTTCTTTCCTACAAAGGTCATTTGGTTCATTCTACTTTTTATTAATTAAATAATAGATATATATTAAAAATAATATATGATGTTTTATTTAAGAGAAATTATTTCATATATTGATTGTGTAAAAATAATTAATTCATAAGTTATTATATTGTTAACATGTGATATAATTTGAATGTTCATTAACTCTAAATTTTAAATCTTAAATTATAAAATATATGTGTTATACAATCTGAGACGAAAATAAAATAAAAATGAAAAACAATTTTTTATTAATAGAGTAGAAGAAACATTTTAGAGTAAATAACTAGAATTATAACATGATATCGAACTTGAATATGGTGAGGTCTGCAACTACGCAGTTTCCTTAAGACGGATTTTCGGTCAATCCTTTGTGCTCGAGATATCTTGGTTGTCTGTCTCTCAGGATAAAACGATATGATCAGCGCACAGTAACACAACTTGCGAGACCACGAACCAAATATTGTTAGAGACTATCATCGAAAAGAAGAGAGAAAGAACAGAGTTTTTGAACAGTGTTTAACCTAGTAGGTTAGCACAGTATTTATAATGTTTCACAAGGGAGACGAATTGAAAACAATATATTCACAAGGGAGACGAATTGGCATCCAAATAAAATCGAAAATAATCAATTAACATCGTATTATATCAAATATATTCATGAATTGCAAGTCATACCTTATTTAAATTAAAAGGAAATCGCATAATATCCTTTTTTAATTTAGAATATTCAAAAAGTTAAGTTTCACTTAAGAAAAATATTTAATTCGTAGTGGGTAAAATATATGCAGACCCCGGAGAGCCCGATCGGTTCAGATATTCACATCACCTCATCGTGCGAATGTGCCTCTAACCCTGATGGGTTTGGCAAACTTAAATTTGCACCCCTTGAGCCTACGCGCGAGGCACAATTTTAACCCAAGTCGTTTAATAACTAGTAAGTATGTTTTTGTATATAAATCATTTTCTTGCTTAATATCCCACCAATGTAGGATATGGGTTAACGACCGAGAGACTTAAATCAGACGGACCGATAACGTAAGGGACCAAGTGCACTTAATTAAAAATTCAGTGGCCAAAGTCAATCAGACAGAAGGGGACTATTGACATATTTTACCCTTTGATTTATATTATAATATTTTTCATAATATTTTGTCAAATGGAATTTGAATGATTTCGGGTATGAACTACCCACTACACTACTATATGATTTTTTTATATTTCAGTATTTATGGATATCTTGATAAATGAATGATATGTGATTTAAATAGAAATGTCCATTGTATGTACATTTAGAGTTTTTGGAATGATTGAATCGCCATAGAGTATTAGTTGTTGCATTATGTACGTAGTATATATGTGTTGATAATGCTACAGTACTTTCAAGATACATTATATAGAACATATGTGTTGATGGTGTTTTAGTATTCCTGACATGTAGTATTCAACACTAAAAGTGCATTATTTGTGACTAACATACCTTGCGTTTTTATTTATTTACTTTGGGTTGTGATTTAAAAATAATTTGGAAAGTACATGTTTGACTGGTGAATTTGAAAGTAAATCTTTCATTAATTATAACTGATTTGGCATTAAGTGTTTTATACACGAATTGATGACTATCAGGTGATACTTGATATGAATGATTTTGATATAAGTCGAATTTATAGTATCATATATTATTCTTTGATATCTTCGTTTTATCATTATATGGTGTGTTTTGTATTATCATTATGTGTTATTTTATATTTTATATAATGTCTCATTAAGTATATACTTAGCGTGTAATCAGTTTACACGTAGGTTGATCATAGTTATCAGAAGTAAGGAGGAGTTGCACATCATTTCTTATTCGAGAGAAAAATCACATGCTACTATTGTATTTACATCTTCCTTGATGTATTTTTATTTCATAGTTGACATGTATATGTTTTGGTAGTCGATTTTGTGATGTGTTAGCTTTGTTATAATTATAAAAATCATTATTTTTTGTGTGATGTTTAAAATATACTTAGATAGTTTGATATATATATAATTTTTTTTGGTAGTTTTAAAGAAACAAATTTTATCTGAAATTGGATAAGGAATGTTTTAAAAGTTTCAAGTGATATCACTTACTCGTGTTTGGTAACAAATATAGGAAAGGGGTACTTACATATCTAAAGTGACTAATTTCAATATTAGAGGAGATTGTCCAAATTATATATTTAGTTTACAATGGTAGTTATAAAACCTTTATTGTAATTTTAGATATTTTTATTTTTTAGGCAAAAGACATCAGATGTTTCTGTGCTTTTGAAAAAAAATAAAGTGGCCCTTGTATTATTTTTCTCTTAATGTGACCATCTAACTTAGAAAATAAGCTCAATGTGACCCTTTAACCAACGTTTTCGTCGTTGACCATTATGGTGTTGACATGACAGTTCACGGTTCTGATGTGGCGATCCACCGTGTTGATGTGACAGTCCACAGTAGTTGAAAACGTGATGCATAGCATGGCTAATGGGCTAAATAGATAACTCAAACATAATAGATGAACTGACATGTTAGTACCGCAGACCGTCACATCAGCACATTAATCAAACGATGAAAAATGTTAGTCAAAGGGCACATTGAATTTGTTTTATGAGTTAGGATCACATTAAGAAAAAAAATAATATGATGATCACATTAATTTTTTTTAAGTACAAATACCTCTTATACAATTTTTTATTTTTTAATAATATTAGTTGTTTCTATTTAAAAAAATCGGTACCTTTAAAATTCTTAAAATTAACATGTTGTATTTTTTTTCCGAATTTGCGGATGATGTTCCTCTATTACCAATAATTAAAGAAATCACAACCGTCTCTTTTTATTATCGTAAAAAATATCAAATCTGAATGGAATAAATTGATTTGGATAACGGAATTTATCCCTCCTCACACAATTTTTCTTAATTATTTTTCTTTCATTATTCTCAATTCTTTTAGTCTTATGTAACTATTTCCCTTTTCTTTCTTCACAAATATGGAAATCAGATATGTTACTTAATTTTATTATTTTTAAGGAAAAATAAAATCTTACACTTACTAATTTTATTCATTACACATTAATTTTATGTGCCAATTTCTAATTATTTTTCATGTTATGTTTAATAATAGTGTTATTTTTTTCTCATATTTTAATAAACGAGTTAATAAAAAACAATTTGAAATTTTTAATTACTAACATGGTTTATTTTGAACAAACATAATGATTATAAATGATTTATCTAAAATATATATTATATTTCAGTCAGTTTTTATTTGTCTTTTTAAGTTTAAATTTGTACTATTTTTTATACTTTATCAAACTATTTTAAAAATTTATGCGAAAAAAATATTTTATTAATGTATTAATAAGGTTTAAGGGTCACATTTGCCCTTGTAGTAGATCAAATTTATCATTTTCGATCCTATCGTATTTTCTCAATAATTTAGCCCTAAAAGTTGTTTAATTGTATCATTATTTGCCCTTCCCCTAACTTTAAACCTTAAACCTTAAATTATAAACCTTGAGTTGGTATTTAGAAGTAATGGGATTATGATTTAGGGTTTATATGTTATAATTTAAGGTTTTAAGTTAAGGGTAGGGTTATGGAATAATGCAATTATATAATTTTAAAGATTAAATTGATGCGAAAATACGATAGGGACGAAAGTGGTAAATTAGGTGTACGGGCAAAATTTTTTGCATATTAATAAATTCAATTATTTCATGTTTGATATTTAAATAATATTTTATATTTTTACTTAAAATTTATATAAAAATAAATTATTATTAGTATTAGTATAACAATTTACATTTAAAATAACAATATTTTAACAAAATTCATATCCTAATTAATCCGTGCATAAACTCAACCCAAAATTCTGTAGTACAGAATAAATTAAGCATATGTTTTAATAACGGCTCTTTGGTGATTAAAAGCAAATTAGAGGCGCGTGTTTGTAACTTTGCATCGCTACGGGTTCACGCGCCTTTTGATAGTAACGCCTGGATGGATATAGGTCAGGTTAGGTTAAATTTTCAGCCAAATCGACCATACCAAAAAATTAGATCCTTTCACTAGAATTTGATTTAATTCGAATTTATTTTAATTTTATTCAATCTAAAATTTGATCTGAGTTTTTAAATAAAATCTAAATTTGATCTTATCAAA